ATGGTTTCATCTTAATAGCTCGCTTGAACTAGAAATTTTTTTTATGAAGTGAAATAATTTAGATGGTTTAATTTTGAACCACTTTTCATTCATTCTTTCACACAAGTTATGTTGAAACTCCCATGGAACTCATGCTCTTCCACAACCAATTAACTGTCCTCTTGGCCTAGTCTCAATGTAGGCTTTTGAAGCGTTACTTTTAAACTTTCGAGAGTTTGATGCGACACACGTGATGTGTTGCCTTCCCTCTGCCTCCACTTGAATCACCCACTCTGTAGAGTTTGTTCCCTTCCACAAAGAAGTTCATCTGCAGCTTTTGTAACTCTCTGTTTTTTTCACCAGTAATGTAAACCAGCCAACTCTGCTGTTCTCTTGCCAACCATGTATACAATATTATAGCAACCTGCCTCTAGTTGGTGCCTACCCTTAATCCCTGAGAATAATACTTTGTTACATTTTGACAGAAGTTCTTTCCACCTTACTCATAAAGATTCATCAAGGGAAATGAGCAACTCCCCTGACTAAAACAGAAAAAGTCAGGTTCTTAAAGTTCTTTGTGAAAGTTCAAGGTAAAGTGGAACAGTTGGGAAAATCATCTCAAGAAGGGCAGAAGTTTGGGGAGAAAGACATAGGAAGTCATTCAATTAAGCATTGAGTGAGGTTGAAAATCAGTAAACGAAAGTTCAGCTCTACCCCTTTTTTGATATTTCAATTAAGCTGATATTCAGTAAACTATATTTCCTTAAGCTCTTTTGCATTCTGGATTTCAATATTTGTGAGATTGGAAGAAACAATGTGAGAGAAGATTCTTTCCTCTGTTCCCGCCTCCTGTTGGCATTCCTAATAGCAGCAGATAGCTGAGTCTCTAGCCTTCATTTTCCTTTAGAACTTTAAGTACCAGCCTTACTATGTTCCCTCAGAGGTGCTGGCCACATTCATGCTATTCCTCTGAATGATCATGGTACATCTACAGCATGTTCTCACACTCACTTGGTACACACCATTGATCTTTCAATCACCTGCCAGGCTAGTGTACTTTCTGAGTTGTTCCAACATTAGACCTCCGGAGTCTTTCTGCTAAACTTCTAGTTTCTAAACCACATTTTTCACATTGCAGGTGTAAGCAAGTTAGACACTCCTTTCAATTATAAATATGCAAATTCCATCAGCATCCCTTTTTTGTTCTTTCAGACTTCCCTTATGTTAAACAACTCCTAACATGAGAATGATAGAAGACTCAACATAAGACATGAGCGATGGATGTGTACATTGGTATCAGATTCAGGATTGAGCAAGAGAAAAAAGAGTTGGTTGAGGAGTGGAAGGTTGGCAGTCTAGAAGAGAATTTGGGGAGAGATATATAAAGGTGATACTTATAGTGTAATGTGATACATTTTCATGATATAATGTGTCACTTTTATATTTCTTGGTGCTACTTACTAAACGTTTTGAAAATAAAGATTTCTTTAAGGATCTAGATATTTGGTTAACTAAGTATCTGCAAGTAGCTAATACACGAGTTGTCTTATCCTGGCTTTAAGTTGGACCTACTAATTCTTTTTTTTTTTTGCAATAATAGGAAGGAACAAGGGTTTTTGCTGGTTGAGATAAGGATAGCTATACAGGGCATTGACTCACATTGATTTCCTGTGCGTGGGTGTTACCTTCTAGGTTAATTCTTTTTAATCTAACCTTTTCTCTAGTTCCTGGTCCCCTTTTCCTATTGGCCTCAGTTGCTTTAAGGTATCTGCTTTAGTTTCTCTGCATTAAGGGCAACAAATGCTAGCTAGTTTTTTAGGTGTCTTACCTATCCTCACCCCTCCCTTGTGTGCTCTCGCTTTTATCATGTGCTCAAGTCCCTTGTTGTGTTTGCCCTTGATCTAATGTCCACATATGAGGGAGAACATACGATTTTTGGTCTTTTGAGCCAGGCTAACCTCACTCAGAATGATGTTCTCCAATTCCATCCATTTACCAGCGAATGATAACATTTCGTTCTTCTTCATGGCTGCATAAAATTCATTTGTGTATAGATACACATTTTCTTAATCCACCTTCCGTCAGTGCTGGGGCATCTTGGCTGTTTCCATTAACTTGGCTATTGTGCAAAATGGCATCTCAAGGATCTTAATATCAGACCCCAAACTCTTAAGTTGTATACAAGAAAGAGTAGAGAAATACTCTGGAGTTAGTAGGTATAGGTAAGAACTTTCTCAATGAACCCGCAGCAGCACAGCAAACTAAGAGATAGCATAGATAAATGGGACCTCATAAAACTAAAAAGCTTCTGTTCATCAAAAGAAATGGTCTCTAAAACTGAAGAGAACACCCACAGAGTGGGAGAAAATATTTGCCAATTATACATCAGACAAAGGACTGATAACCAGAATATACAGGGAACTTAAAAACTAAATTCTCCCAAAACTAATGAACCAATAAAGAAATGGGCATGTGAACTAAACAGAACTTTCTCAAAAAGAAGAAATTTCAAATGGCAGAAAACACATGAAAAAATGCTCACCATCTCTTAGCAATAAAGGAAATGCAAATTAAAACCACACTAAGATTTCCACTCACCCCTGTTAGAATAGCCATCATCAGCAACACCACCAACAACAGGTGTGTTGGCGAGGATGCGGAAAACGGAACCCTCTTACATGTTGGTGGGGAATGTAGACTAGTACAACCACTCTTGGAAAAAAATTTGGAGGCTACTTAAAAAGCTGGACATCGATCTACCATTTGATCCAGCAATACCACTCTTGGGGATATACCCAAAAGACTGTTACTCCAGAGGCACCTGCACATCCATGTTTATTGCGGCACTATTCACAATGGACCTACTAATTCAAAGCACGGAGCATGTGTGCCCTGGTAGTTGATGAGAGCTGTATCGTGGTGTCCATTGTGATTGGTTTGCTTAATGTTAAAGGCGGTCCTAAAAGATCTATCTTAATACATAAGGGCAACCTGATGACCTACAAGTACAATTTTAGTGCTATGTATTGTTTTGTGGCCAAAGTAACAGAAATTCCATGATTTTTCTCTTTCCAATGATGTGCCTGAGAAACATTTTCATAATAGAACATGATGAATGAGAAATCAAACTACCAATTTATTGTAATTGGTTATATTTATCCTTCCATTATAAGGCAGATGTCTCTGTAAACTCAGCTAGAATATGTGGCCTAGTTAGAAGGCCTAAGAGACTTTGCTTTCTTACAAATCTCAGTCTTACTACTCTCCTTAATGTCTCTCTCTCTCTCTCTCTCTCTCTCTCTCTCTCTGTGTGTGTGTGTGTGTGTGTGTGTGTGTGTGTGTGTATTTGTGCATGAGAATAGAGGAACAGAGAAAGCAAGAAGTTCAGTTTTAAATCTGGAAGTGTGGGCACAAGGTCAGTTTAATTCGTCAATCATATGGAAAAAAAGGAAAGATAAAATGCCAGTAGAGTCATGAGTCATTCTGCCATCCATGACCTTTGAGCACACAGTAGTCCTGATCACATGATCCCAGAATAACAGTGTTCACTACTCTTATAAATGAGCAAGATTTGAAGGCCATTTATTTAAGGCTAAAATTATGTTGAGAATGTTTTTTCCACAGATGCCACATGGCTTAGTTTTCCATTGTTAAAGATGTATCCTTAAGTATTCTACTCTCTGTTAGTAAAATAATTCAGTCTTTACAAGAGTCATATGAGGGCATTTTAGTAGCATCAACTAAAGAAACAGATCACGTGGGCGCAATATCACTTCTACTCATCAGTAAGAAAGTAATTTTAATGGTCTGTGTTTCAGTTTATCATCTTCAAAATGTGGATCATAATATATACTTCCCAAGATAAACAACAAGGCCAAGAAAAAGAGAATTTGGAGGCCAAATAAATTAATTTTGCTTTAGTTTTCATTATCTTCAAGTTCTATCCTCAGGAAATCTCAAACTTCAAAAACATGGAAGAGATGTAGTTGACTAACATCCTTAGTAGACAAGTTTGACATGCACAATAAAAGACCTCTTATTTCTTTCCTACTTGCTTCAACCCATAGAAGGTATATATCATTGATGAAAAGTTTGGGGGAAGAAAAGGAAAACACTGTGAAACAAATCAGTCAGGAGACCTTTATTCACAAGTGTATCTTGCAAAGAAATACAACATGAGAAGGTATTAATCCTATTGTGATACTCCCTGACAGCTCTCAGTTCTGCAGAACGGAAAAATAACTAAAATGTCTAACTCAAGTTCTGGTCTCAAGCATGTAAACTCCTGAATTCATGGAGAACAGAGATGGGGGTGGCCTTTACCAGAATTTTCTATTTGGTGGATGTTTAATGAATGTTTAAGCTTAACTTGCCATTTTTTGGCAAATCCATGTGTTTTTTCTCTAACCTATGCTGTTGAAAATATCTTCAAGGTATGCTGACAAATTTATATTTGTACTTGCACCTAAAACATTAGAAAAGATCATCTCCTATAAATTCATTAGAATCACAGAAATGGATAACTTTTGTAGGGTTTTCTTATATAGACATTAATTGGATATATATTATGCTTTAAGCTTTGCAATAGGTACTTTATCTTTTTTTAAAAACTGTGGTTTAACTGTCTTCAAAGACTGAGATTCAGAAAGCATCCAGAAAGCACAGTTTAGAAAGGCTTCCTAGATTCCTAGAACAGAGAGATTCATGCCACATTTAATAGTGCTAGTTTCTAGTCTGTACGAGATTGGGTGACAGTATTTGCCATAGACTAGAATTATGAACACATGTATGCTTTCCTAAAATTGTCACCCATTAATTTTCATTCAATTGAAAAGTACTTCAATGGACAATAGCTGATGTGATAATGGAAACAAGTGGTGCTTTCTGAATTGTATGTTTGGAAATGAGAGAAAAATAATCTCTGTGTTTGAACTTGGTCCTCAATAGCTTAGTCATTTTTATCCTGGAAATTTTCCCCTCTATACATTGTGCTTCACCATTTGGAAAGAGCAGGGTCCAGATTAATGTTGTGTCAGGGAAATTGTTGCTCCCACAACTCTACGAAGAGCTGATTCGAATTCTTTATTTCTTAAACTGTAGATCATTGGGTTGAACAATGGAGTTAGGAAAGTATAGGATACTGATATGAGAGCATCCTGGCTAGAGGAGTAGTTAGACTTTGGTCTTAAATAGATAAAGGAGGCACAGCCATAATGGACAATAACAACAATAAGATGAGAAGCGCAGGTGGAGAAAGCTTTGTACCTCCCTAATGCAGAGGGAAATTGTAAGATGGCAGAAATGATGTAAATATAGGATACCAAGATCAACAACAGGGGGATAACTAGGACCAATACACAGAGCATGAAGATGATTACCTGACTAAAGTGGGTATGGTGAGATGCTAGTTTAAGGACAGGAGAGATGTCACAGAAGAAGTGATGGAGTTTATTTGAAGAGTGGAAGGGCAGGCGAAATACCAAGGATGTGATAATCTGTGCCACAGAGAAGCCACAGGCACAGGCAGAAGCTACTAGTCCCATACACATCCCATGTCTCATGAGTATTGTGTAACGCAGTGGGTTACAGATGGCCACATAGCGATCATAACCCATGGCTACTAACAGGAAGGAGTGGGAGCAGCCAAGGAAGAGGAAAGTAAACATCTGAATGGCACAGCCCAGGAAGGAGATGGTCTTCCTTTGGGCCAACAGGTCAACCAGCATCTTGGGTACAATGACAAAGGTGTAGCAAGTCTCAGAGCAGGAGAGAACAGATAGGAAGAAGTACATGGGAGTATGAAGGGCTCTGTCCAGAATGATGGTGGAAATGATGATGGCATTGGTGCCCAGAGTGAACAGGTAGAGGAGCAGGAAGACAACAAAGAGCAGCAGCTGCAGCCCAGCCAGAGATGAGAAGCTGAGGAAGACAAATTCGCTCACCACAGTCTCATTGACCCACTCCATGAAGAGTACACCTCAAGGAACAATCCAGTATTGGGGAGGAGATATAGCCAAAAGAAATCCCTGAAAATTAGTAGAACCATAGAAAATGTGTCAACACTGAACATGTGTCCTCAGATATTGAGTTCTAAACTCCTCATTCCTATTTTTCCAAGCAATGAAGTATATAAAGTCAAGCAAGTCTGATTGCTCAGATTTTGAGTTTCCACAATAATTCTAACATAGCCCAAAATTTATTGACAGTTCTGAGACTTAACCATAGCTTTGTCTCTATTCCTATGGAGGGGCTCTTATGTAGCTTCTTAGCCTCTCACTTCTAGATTGCAGCTCATTCTTTGGCTTTCTGGAATCCACATTCTCTTTCCTACAGTTGAAATATAAATTCTCTGAAATTGCCACATTTATCTATAATTCACATATGTTCACTAGCTTTTGTTTTTCATTCTCTTCACACTAAAACTCCTAGTCTTGACTTTGGTCTCTTTATAACTTAGATTTACATTTTCTCCTGCTCTGTCTTTGTTCTTGGAAGGAATTAGTACCTCTATGTTCTCATACTCCCATTATACTGACTTTTGCTTCTGGATCTTTATTCTACTCCAAAGGCCAGGAAGTGTTCTCGTATTCTTCTTTTTATTCATCTATTGCAAGATGGAATAGTCTACCTACTTCCAGTGTCTGTCAGTTTTTCCTTCTGCAGGGAGAACCACAATCTTTTTTTCAGAACTTTCGTTCATTTCTATCACTGCCCTTTAACTCCTACTGAAATCACTTTATAGCCATCTTTCTCATAGGCTCTCTCACATTGCTTCAATACATTGTTCCTTTGATGATGGATAAAACTTCTTATATGTAAATTGGATTACATTGCTCCCTCCCCCTCAAAAATTTTATTCATGACTATTGTATAAATTTCAAATTGTGTAGTTTTCAATGTCTCTCATTTTAGAAACCTGTGTTTCTAATGCTTCTCTGAAGACTTTTCATGGGTTATATCATGATTGGGAAAAGAAGTTTTGTCCTTCTTTTCCTCTGTTCCTTGCTTGTGTTAATTTATTATCCATTTTTTTATTTGCAGATATTTTATGGTTATTCTGAAGCTTCAATCCAATCTACAGTTTTGGGGAGCTTTCTGGTACCTCCTAATAAAAATTTTAAAATCTGTTTCTTCCTTAGAATGCTCATAAAACATTGAATACCAATTTGATGTGACATTTTTTAAATTTTGAAATATTGTATTAAATTCTTCTCATATCTCCTATCTCTCCAATAGATTTTGTATCCATGAGAGAAAGATGTGAATTTTAGGTATCTTTGCCTGAATTCTCCTCAGCCAATAGAGCCATATTAAACACATAAAAACATCTCAGTAAATAATGATTAACTAAAATGAAAAGTTAGCTTGTTCTTCTGTTACCTATCTTATTCATGGACTCACAGAGTAAGAGAATCCACAGTGTTATTTCATCCTGGGCATGAGGATTGTTCAGTATCAAGAATTTTTGAGGATTTTTGTGCCACATAGCTTAGCTTTCAAACCTAAAAGAGAAATCTCATTTTAAAACAAGCAAATGGTACTGAAGAGAGCATCTGGTCATTGGAATTCCACATACATAGGAATTCCAATTCCTGGGGCATGATCTACTTTCTAGAGCATATTGGAATCTAAGTAAGTGAGAGGGAAATTATAAAGATAACTTTGCATTTATCACATTTAAAAAGTATACAGTTAAAAGGTATTACCTTAACTAATATTACTAACAAAAAAGTTTGGCAAGATAGCTCATCTTAGCAGAGATCCACTGAATCAAGAACATCGATGTTATAGAAGAAATATTAAGCAGTGCAATTACAATCACATTAAGCAATGTGATTACAATCACAGGCAATAGATATGTGGTAACAGTACACATACAAGTAAGTCCCAGTCCAGGGCTTCAAGTTGCTTATGGTTCAAGAGTGAGACATATTCCAAAGTGATTATTATTTTAGTAATATGGTGATTTAAATGAAAAATATGCATTTGGGACCATGGCAGCACTCAGAATACACCTGTTTTGTCTATCCTTGGAAAATATGTTTTACATAGTTCTGGCTTTCCTTACATCTGTTATGGTATGGGTAAACTAAAGTGTGCTTGGCACAATGTCATGAGACTAGGCACTATTTGGTTTATATGACTTTTAGTCCAAGAGTGTAAATAATTCAGGTAAGCACCATTGCTTTTTCTTGTTTCAGGAAGAGGACTGCATGGTCTCTGAGGTTTTCTGCTTCCATAATTATGCTTAACTCTTCCCAACCCTCTGAAAGGACATATATCTTCTTCTTAGTCCATCTTATTTGTCTGGCTATTTGCCCAGAGGTTTACAAAGGATTTTTATTGCTTAGTAGATTGGTAGATTTACTGCAAATGTACTGTATCTTTCTAATTCCAGGTTCCCTAACTACTACTAACAATTTCTTCATATCTGATCTGAAATTTTACCATCATAAGCACATATAAAGGTGGGTAATGTAAGAATAAAATGGGTTTTGAGTTTAGACAGATATAGGCTTCAATCCTGACTCTGGTATGTTCTGATGATAAGATGGTAAATTTTCTTAAGCCTCATTCACATGGTGAGAAGACTAATTCCTACTTTCCAGGGTTATTGTGAGGACTCATAGAGATCATATATATGAAGGAGGCTGGTTCAATAAATAGGGAGTGCTTAATAAATATCTCATTTTCCTTACTTTATTATTATGCATTGTGTACCTTCTCACAGAGGGGAAATTTAAGGGGGATTCTCCTTACCTTGAAGTTCTCCACCCTGAATGAAAGTAATTTGGTATTCCATGGAGTTCTGACTTATACTGAAGATAGGTGAGTGTTCCCAAGTTTGAAATACCAAACAAATACTTTGGTTTCTGGTTTTGCTGAGAGTCATACGTGCATGGTATCTATACCTGGCAGAAAAGAAAAGAGATTACCTAAATTTTCTACTTGTAGAGAAAGGGACTTGAGATAAACTAAGAAGATCAAATTGTAAGTAGTCTTGATCACATACATACATAAATTTAGAGGTTTCTCATTTTAGATGTTTTCTATTTACTAAAGATGCACATTCTATAAAGCGTGTTTTATCAACATGTGTAGTCAATTTCTGCTCCTGAAGAGTAGAGCAGATTATCTAATAGTTCTCATATTACGTGATTTCATAATTTCTTTTATATTCTAAGCATTGCACATAGGAATATAAGTATAATTATTTTTCTTTTTTCAAAGAAGGGAGAATCTAACAGCCATCCAATTTATAAGACAAACTATCATACACATCATAAATAAAATTTCAGGACAAACAAAATGTCCTAAAAATCTTGATGAAGAAAAAATACTACATAATTTTGGTATCAGTTTAGCAACCAAAATTTAGATCCATTTTGTAGAAATGTGGTGAAGGCTCATTTTTCACATTATTTATATTCTAGATAGGATGAAAATATGCCATATATGTTGTCTTAGTTGGTCCTCACAATGACTTTTATATGGACTTTCAATATCACCATTATAAATATGAGAAATTTGAGAATCAGAGGTGTTTGGTCCTCCTTTAGGTTCACAGAGTCTGGGTATAATTTGTGTTATACCCAGCAGTAGTGTAGGGTATAATTTGTGTTTGTGTTTGTGGTGTGGTGTGTGTCTGTGTGTGGTGAGAAGAGGAAAGCAGTGTTCTGCCACCCTTCTTCCATTTGAAGGTACTTAAAGTATAAGATTTCTCTTACAATTTGGAGTCCAGGTCCCAGCTACATGTTGTATTATTTTCATGGTTTCTCTAAAATGGATGAGATTGTGTTTTTGCAAGGGTTAAGTGTTAACAGATACTATTTCTCCAGTTATAACTTAAAATTGAAAAGGGGAAGAGGGACTGATGATTTTGAGAGTGACTTTCACACTCCTTTCTTCACTTTCATTAGTTTCAAAAATGATTTATTAGGATAAATATGTCTTCTCTTTGCAGGACTGAGAAAGGTTTGTTGTGGTTGTCCTTATCATTTACTCAGGAAAATCTTTAGAATGCTGGAATCATAAATATTATAGCCTTAAGTGGTTTTAAAGATCCAGACTAGTAGTCTCCTATGACAATTGAAGAAATTGAGTTCAAAGAATGTTATAAAAACCCAAGAACAGAAAGCAAGAACAGGTTAATTAGCAACAGAACAGGTGTCTTTTGTTTTGGAGGAGATGCTGCCTCCTGAAGATGATTACTATATAGATGATAACTTTTTATTTTTGTATAGCAGTGTCTCATATTTTTTTTAAATTTTTTTAACCTATATCTACCTGCTCTCTATGTGCTTGTGTTAGTATTTTTGGCCATTTCTGGTTTTGTGCTCCCAGAAGGCAGTTTTTTTGTGCTTCTAAATTCATTAACTAAAATTTTTGCAGACCATTCACTACATTCTCAACCATGTGAAAAGCAGTGAAGCTTTCTTTATCTAGATTTCACACAACACATCTCTTCTTTTCATACAGGTAATTAGTTAAGATTTTGTAATTAAAATATTGTTAAGTTTCCTGTTGAATTAAATCAGAACCAAGAATTTCTTTTTAAATTTAAGAAGAGTAATGAGTGAATTAACGTAGAATGTATATAAAATGTACATGCACAGTTTTGCAGAAGTTTACTTAAAGGTTAACTAATCCTGATTAACATTGTTTGGAGTCTAACAGCTGGCACTGCACTGGTTTGGACTCCTTACCATTCTCTGTTTCTTACCTGAGAGGTGAAAGACTTAAGTCTCACTGGAGGTCAGTGTTTATTCTCCTTTCTGGTTCATTGTCCTGTTTCTCAGTGTTATAGCATTCAGTTCAAGGTGAATGTCTGCTATTCATAGATGGGCTCCCATTTTCTTTCCCCTCTACCCAAGAAAAGCCAGAGACGCAGAGGCTACAGTATGGAATTCCAATTGAAATACTAAATGGGGAAAGGATGAAAGAGGGTAGATGTCACTGATGTCTA